CGGCCTTAACAGCACTTGCCCCAAAAATCTGATGAGGCTTTACGGGGGATTTTTATCTTGTATGGGTAAAGGGAGGTTGTAAGGAAAAAGTGGACAATTTTTCTCGGTGTCTCCGTGCCAATGATGACTTATTGTCCACCGGCTGATAGGACGTTTTGAAAACTAAGACGCACCACCCTAAGCTTGTGTCCGGTGCTAATGAGCTCGTACAAATCTGGTGATACACACACCTACCGAATTATACAATGGGCATCTTTCTTCCCATACCTGTTTCTTAACAATGCTACTGAAGTAATGCACTTTCGGAAGGAATGTTTAAACATTATTTTCTTTTCATGAGGAGGGATAGATATGCATAACTGTCAACCCATACGGCTTACCCGTATTCTTGTACAGGAAAATTGAGTTTTCAGGTCCATACGGCGTACAGCCGTTTCGATATGGGCAAAAAACATGTTTTTTTTTCATTTGTGTTTCTCCCATGTGATAGGACTTTGTAGGATGAACTTTGAGATTTATAAGGGCACTGAGTGACCAATAAGGTCTGAATTATTCTGTAAAAAAATTAACCCGTAAAAACAAAGTTTTTCACTATACATCCTTTATATGCGTGGCATCGGTTTTATTTTATTACTCATTTCTGTTTTTCTTGAGTAAGAGTTTCATTTTTATCACATTGGTATTTTAAATTAAATATGAAAATTATTTTTTCCTAAAAAGTGGAAAATTTAGCAAAATCTTTTTTCACGAAAATAAATTGTCACGCACGAGTCTGTGTGCAAAATGTCAGCTCGATTGGATCACGGGAAGTGGGTTAAAAAACGACCTAAAGATTTGCACGGTCGTAAGCGCGCAAGCAAGCAAGCAAGTGAACTTAATATAAAGGATTTAAAAAGTAGGCACAGATAAGGGGTTTACCGGTATGGATATGGAAAGGGGGTGAATTGTCTGCTTATTTGTGCACCAACTTTTCCTTGAAAATGCAGGGGGGGGGGGGTGAAGTGAATCTTATGATCGCGATAATATAGTTCAATTTTCAAGTTTATTCTGTCTTAACCAGGTAGAGAGAACTCAAGACCAGTACAGTCTCGTGAGCAAGTGTGACCTGGATCACAAACATTACAAAAGCAAAACAAACTAAAAATAGAGGAATGAAGCAGTCGCAGTCGGGGCAAAAACAATAACTGTGTTGGGTGGTTTCTCTCTCTCTCTCTGCGCAGGGGCCCCGTGTCTCAGCTTCGCGTTCATCCCCGACGAGCTGGGCGAGCAGCGCACAGACTTCCCCCTGACCATGTACCTGGTGGCTGGGACGCAGGCCGACACGGCGCAAGCCAACAGGTGCCTGGGCCTTCTGATGGTCGGCAGGAGCGTTGCAGCTGCCATTTCCTTACCACAGCAGCTACTGAGATCCTCATTCGTGCCTTAATCACACCCCCACTGGACGTTTGCAACTCTCATCCACAGCTTCCCCCAAATCCCTCGGCCTCAAACTCCAGACGATCCAAATGCCGCTGACCAATTCCTCACACCTGTAAATGAGACCACGTCATTCCAACACTCCCGATCCCTCCACTAGTTTACAATCCAATCCCGGATCAATATCAAGATCGCTCTCGCCGTTTTTAAGATCCATTGATTTTTCCCTACCTGCCTCTTTCTCTGCAGTTCTCCCCACACTCTCCTACATCTCCCCAATATATCTCACTCCGCTCCTCTCCACATCCTCTGCTCCAGCAACCAAGGCTTTCTACCAAAGCCCACAGTCAACCTTTGCATAGTGGGAGGTCACTCATTCTATTTTACTCTGCTTCGTGACGTTATGTATTAAGGACGGTCTTGTGTTCACATGCTCTTGAGATAGCTTTACCGATTTACAATTTAGTTTTTTTTATTTTGGTTGCAGACTCCTGTCCTAATGCATGTCCTCCCAGCAGTATACACAAGTACACGACAGCGTCGATCATAAGCTCACGTGTGGTAAGCTAAATGGTGGGTATTTCCACCTCTTACAAGATAGCTGGCCGGCATGAAAGAGTAAAAAAAGAATAACCCCTAGAGGGACTCTCTATAGCTCCCTCCAGTGGAGACCCCTGAGCCGGCAGTAGCGTGAGCATCAATGACGGAGTGTCACCTGTTCCCCGTGGCGATGGCCGTCCCGCTCCCAGGCTGCTCGTGATGAAGATGTCAAACCTGTTGGGCACTGGCCGCGGCCGCGAGGAGGAGACTGCGGCGGAGGACGAGAGCAGCGACGACAGCGACGACGAGGACGCCAAACCACAGATGGACACGGCGCTCGTGCCACACTACGGTGCCATCAACCGCGTGCGGGTGAGCAGCGTGAGTGAGCGGTGTACTCTCAGGGTGAGCGGTGTGGCGAGAGCGAGCGGTGCGAGTGAGCTGTGTGGCGAGGGTGAGCGGGGACTCGGGCAAACAATCGATCAGTGGTGTTATGTTTGTAAATATGCGCCCGGTGCCCGTGGTGCAGGTGTCGCGTGTCGGTGGGGTGGCGCTGGCGGCTGTGTGGTCGGACAAGGGCCGCGTGGAGCTGTGGGACCTCCGGCCCCAGCTCGCCGCCGTCGAGTCTCCGCAGGCGCTCGTGAGCTTCGTGCGCGAGAAGCAGAACGAGCTGAGCCCCGTGTTCTCCTTCTCGGGGCACCTCGCCGAGGGCTTCGCGCTTGACTGGTCGCCCACCGTTCCCGGTGAGTGCTGCCCCCTCGCTCACCCGGGGTCACGCTTTCATTTAACCCGGTTTGTTGGGCATCAGGATAGCAAAACTTGGCAAAACCCCTGCCCCCCCCCCCCCCAAGAGTCTTAAGGTTTAGTGAGGCTCTCCTGTGTAAACGTGTAATAATAATGATAAATAATAATTTTAGCTTTCCAGCTAAAAAAGCTCTGTGCAGTGGGGAGCGCAACCAGTTCCTCGATTTCCTGACTTCCCTTTTCATGCTGTCCAGTCAAGGTTGACGGTGTTAATGTGTTAGCTCTGTTCAGACGGTTTTTCTGTTTGTCCATCGATCATCCTGTCTATAGCGGGGAGGGGGTCACAGTCGCTCCCTCCATTTCTTACCATTTCACTTCTTTGCAATGCTTTGCAGTTGAGGGGGAAATTCCACGAGTGCTCTCCTTCGGCACGGGCAGTCACATTAATCTCGTAAACATGATCCAAAGCAAGCAGAAAGTGTCAAGTTGTGTAGCCAATTGGGGCTTGCCCGTATAGAAAGCTGGTCAAATCGATTCAAGGATTTGCCGATCCTCGATCCCGTGACGAGTGTGGCTCTGATCCTAACTCACCGCTGCCATCCCCCCCCACCGACCCCCAGGCCGCCTGCTGAGCGGGGACTGCAAGAAGAACATCCATCTGTGGAGCCCGCGGGACGACGGCTGGCACGTGGACCAGAGGCCCTACACGGGGCATACCAAGTCCGTGGAGGACCTACAGTGGTCTCCTAACGAGGCGACGGTAATTAGCGATCGCCTTGGCGATTTCTACCCTCACCTTCCCCCACCCCCCCCCCCCCCAGCCGCTCACTTCGTATTTACGCGCCGGGTGTCGGAATGCAAGTAGCGATTGTTTCAGTCTCGTTTGCTAATAATAACTTAAAACGTCACGTTTATTTCGTGTAACCAGGTGAGAATGTGAGAGGCTAAGATAGCAGTAACAACAGTGTGTCCGGCCCGCATCTTGCCGTTCTTGTCTTCGCGAGTTGACCGCGTTTGCCTCTCCCTCTGCTGCGTCGTCGCCGCCGCTGTGCAGGTGTTTGCGTCGTGCTCGGCGGATGCGTCGGTGCGCGTTTGGGACGTGCGCGCCGCCCCTGCCAAGGCGTGCATGCTCACTGCCGAGCACGCCCACGACGCCGACGTGAACGTGATCGGCTGGAACGGGCGTGAGCCCTTTCTGGTCTCCGGCGGAGACGACGCCCTCATCAAAGTCTGGGACCTGCGCCAGTTCCAGGTACCGGGGGGGTGGGGGGGGCCCTTATGATGCCGCTCAGAGGTGGCGCACGTTTGCCACTCATTGCAGAGGTTTTCACCCCCGGTTGGAATCCGGCAGGCCCACCCTGGTTATTGCTGCGATTATGATGCGCTGTCTGCTTCACAGCTGAAGTTTAGAATCCAAATTGGCCAAATTAGAAATGTTACCTGCAAATTACTCCATTGGGATTGCACGCGCAGCAGCGATCGTCGCCCCCTACTGACATCCCAGGTGCCGAGATAGCCTCTACCGCAACAGGGCACCCCCAGGGACAGCTGTCGCTAGGAGTGTCCTTTCAATTGTTTGAGATGACACGCAAGTCGCTCATCACGCGTGTGAAGTGCTCGGACGCCCCGGTGTAAAGGAGAGCACTCTATTGCAAACAAATTGTGATTAATGGACATCCCAGAAAAAAATATAACCGACCTGAAGTACAATGCGTCCTAAAAATACCGGGGCTAATTCAGTGCTGGGGCACCCCAGAATGTGATTTATTACAAAACTCCATGACTTCCATGAAGACCACATTTAGTCCATTGACAGCTGGCAAATCAACATCCATCTCCTCGCTGCTCTAAAGCTCGCGTTGCTCGCCGTGACGTCTTCAACCACCGTCTGCTGCGTTCTCCGATTTCATTGTCGTCCGAATCGTTTAGCAGAGTTCTGTGAATTAAATCTCAAGTATCGCACCTCTGGCGAGATGTGCACGGCGTGACGCACGACTCGTGCGGCGTGGAACATGCGATGTGACACGTGCACCCTCGTCACCCCCCCCCTCCCCCGTGCATGCGCACATGAGCAGAAGGGTGAGCCCGTGGCGAGTTTCAAGCAGCACACCGCCCCCATCACATCGGTCGAGTGGCACCCGGGCGACAGCTCCGTGTTTGCGGCATCGGGCGCCGACGACCTCCTCACGCAGTGGGATCTCGGCGTCGAGAGCGACGCCGAGGCTGGTGGCGGCGACACCACCGGGGAGCTGGCCTCCATCCCCCCCCAGCTCCTCTTCATCCACCAGGGCCAGAGCGACATTAAGGAGTTGCACTGGCACCCGCAATGCCCCGGCGTCATCGCCAGCACGGCGCACAGCGGCTTCAACGTCTTCCGCACGGTCAGCGTCTAATAACCGCGAAGCGGTGACGGAGGAGAGGACACCGGCTGAAACCTGCAGCCGCCGCAGTGGTTGGGGGAAAAATAAAAACAAGGAATGAACTCCGACTCTTTTGCACAGCTGGCCAGAAGAGCAGCGAGCGACTAGAATTATTATTCTGATATCTGAGAACTCGATTATTACATTTTTTTGTCCCCCCCCCCTCCCCCCTCAGCCTCATTCCGATTGTGATATCGGCATCGTTTAATGGAGTCTCGGTGCCCCGTGCCATGGGCTAGAGAAGGGTCAACTGGAGAAGTAAACACAGGACTATTTCTGGAATCTCTTATCCACATGTGGGGGCACCCTGCTACAGTAAATTCCAACTTTTATAATGTTTTATTCTCAGCTGGAGTTTAGCCAAATTGAAACGAAACAATTTCACGTGATGGGGGTGTTTTATGCAGTCATCGGTTACCAGGCTGAGAACATCAACTCGCTTCAGCTGAGGACCCAGAACAATCGCAGGCATCCAACACTCGGATTGGAACTCGGGCTCTCTCCGCGGTGCCGGCTCAGCATCTTGGACCACTCAGCCACCTGGCCGCCTTGAATTGACACCGATGGGGTTTTATGATGGTTTATTTGTGCACGAAACCTGCAACTCGCTACACGAATCGAATTGAAACACAGGCGGCCGATCCCCGGCTCCGAGCCCAGGACACTGGCTCGGCGGCACCGGCTTGGCACCTCCGACCCACCCGGCCACTTCCGATTGAGCAGCCTCCAGTGGGGCTTGGCCTCCTGGTCTGGTTGTGTAACACTGCCACCACCGTACCCCGCTTACAAAGTAGAGTTCACTGCAACTGCTGCAACAGCTCCGAGCGTGTCTGCCCTGCCCTGCCCCGTCTCCTCGTCGCGTTGGGAACTCTTTAAGCTTAACGGTCGATGCGCGGCGGATGACCCAGTGGCGGTCACGAGGCGCCTCGCTGTGTTTTTCTTGTAACGTGAATCCGCGGTGTGGGGGCTGGGGCGTGTTAGAGATGCCTGCGTGGTCACGTAACCCCGCGGTTGCGTAGGAAATAAAAGCGAGGTATTTACACGACGCTTCCTCCGTCGCCGTTTTTTAAAGAATGAGGCTTCGGCCGGTTTGAGTGTAGCATTGTTCCGTGACGATTCGTCGTCGGGTGGTTCGACGGGACACAATAAGCAAGCCAAGTGGACTGCTGCCGAGACGCTGAATGTCAAAACAGGTTTAGAGTTGCAGCTTCTATTGGGCCAATGCTGCCTAAATGATGCACTTTTCAGAAGGCTGTGTGGCTGATGTGATGTGTAAAAAAATAGGAAACTTAATGCTTGTGGAGGTGGAAAATTGTCTGCTTATTCATTAATCGGTTATAAGAGTTTTCTTATCTTCATACGTAGAATTGTGGAAATGATATGCTAATTTTGGGTGGAGTTTAGCACAGACCACTGCACTGTTGACCTGGCTGCCCGGGGTTCGATTACAAGGCACCAAGCCAGGAGTGAAATGCCAATACACAAGGGTGGTAATGAAGCTTCTATGGCGACCAAGCAAATTAACAATAACAGTAAACACAAGTGCATGTTCTCTATTGCCACGAAATTCTGGTCTGTTCTGCTTCGGAGATGGGGAGGTGGTTTGCACGCTGCACAAAAAACAACTTACCAGAGTTCAAATCCTGGCCAGAGCCAAGATCACTGGCAAGTGTACTCTATCTCCAACCATGCGCTGACCAGGTTGGCGAAGCATGGCCAAACCATTATCATAACCGTCAAGGCATGGGAACTCCCTCATCCAGCAGTGGGGTGACGAACGGGGCTGCAGGCTATTTTGTTGATTTTTATACTTTCAGGATTAGGTCCACGCATTAAGGAACTCTGCACAGACGAAGGAAAAAAAGAGCGAGACTACGAAACCATCCGTCCTGGATCGTAAGGAGTCGCAGGATTTTCTGAAGGTTGCTTAGGACCAGACTCCCACCCGTTCCCCACTACTCGGCCTCTTATTCACCACCAGCCGGGCAGCCAGAGGTGTCACGTTACGGGTTTGATGTTGCAGCATGGCTGTGGGAGGGGGAGGTGAGAGGTCACCAGCGGCGTAGCTAACGAGTGTGCAGACGGCGCAGACCCCACGTATCCACAGCGCGGTGGGGGGGGGGGTGCGTGGGCTAAATTCCAACATATTCTTAGGTTTTTTCGGTAAAGTCACGCAGGTAAAAAATTACTTTCATTAATTTTAATTTTTTACCTACGTGACTTTACCGAAAAAACCTAAGAATATGAATCCTTGCAGTCACGAAAGCTTCAAATCTAGAATAAATTCCAATAGCGCAGAAGTGGTTGGAGGTTCAAAGTTGTCAGTTTTATTTTGGTTGGAGGTTACCGGATGAGCTCTTGGTGTTTGTGATATTTCACGGATGAGGTGGTGGGAGGCTGAATGTGCGACATTGGAACTTGCCGGTTGGGCAAGGGCTGCGACGGGCAGGGCGGTGGTCACTACTTCCAGCCACTCCACTGCAGGGAAGTGTAGCGGACGCCGTCTCGGGGCATGGGCGAGCACAGCAGCACCGTCTTCTTCACGTTGCTGCCGAGACGCGCCGCCGCGAGCAGCTCCACGAGCGCCATCGGCCGCTCGTCGTCGTGACACAGCGCGATGAAGTGCGAGTGGAAGCGCAGGGGGTCTCCTGCGAATGCGCGCCACGAGAGATTAGCGGCCTTGCCAACGGCTGGCTTGAAATGATAACACTGGTCAACACACTTTTTCTGGCATAAGGTATTCCAACGGTTTTATGGTGGGGTGCCGATTCCAAATCTGGCATCAGTTTTTGTCTATCACGTCAGATTTTTGAGATATCAAATATAGCATTTTTAATAAAAACTGCAGAAGAAAAATATTAAATAAATGTGGTTATCTACATCAAATTATATTATAAACGCACTATCCTAAAAATACAGCACCATATTTTAACACTAAAGCAGTCACTGACTCGCAACAACTTGCAATCATAAGTGACATAGTTAATTTCGAGTAAAATCAATGAAAATGAGGTATATGCCGATAGCATAAAAATGAGATGTGATAGAGCAAATCTGAGATCAGATTTGGAATCAGCACCCTGAAATTTGTCTAAAACAGCTGCAAAAGTCCAGGCCAGAATTTTTTTTTGTTGACCAGTGTAATGGTTAGGACTGGTCTGTATTAACGCTGTTCCTATAGCGCAGGGCTTGTTTCAAAAGCGCCGCGTTTCACAGATGGATGCAGTCTGTCAGGAGGGAGCGATATTGCCATGTTAATCCTAATTCTGAGTAATTTACGGGTAATTTTCAAATTTGGCAAATTTACACCGTGATGCCGCCACAATGGACCACTCGTTTCGAAAAGGCTTTAGGGGATCTTTAACGTCCGCTGTGAAGCAAATGGTGCGTTTGTACCGTTAATACACCCGAAGGATTAACCAGGGTGGCCTGCCAGATACGAACCTCTGCAACACACATCAATGACGTTTTATGGAAATCGCCACTGGCAATGAGTGTATAAACACCCATCACAATGGCGTTTGCAAAACATCCAAAAATATAGGAACACAAAGCTTGCGCAGTTGTCGGTTCTGGCATTCTTTCTCGATTGTTCGGTTTCCTGCACCCCCCCCCACCCCCCACGTGCGAAGACTGCGCGCGTTACAACTTCTACAGCAGCGGCGTCTTCATCTGCCATTAGCAAGAATTACGGCGCAATATAAAATCATCAATAGGGGCCATCCATTTAGTAGGTACGCAAAAATCTGTCAAAACTTGACCCCTCCCACCCTGCCTGCCTGCACTCACGCGTACTTTTTACACCCCCCCTCCTATCTCTGTACGTTCGTTTGACCCCCCCCCCCCCCCCAAATCCTATAGAATGGCCGATATTTAATCCAGGTAGAAACGATTAATAATATTAACGTGTTTAAGCAAACAGTCCCACCGCGCGACTAACTCATATGAAGGCCAATGTAGACAAATAAACACATTCTTGCGGAGGGAGCTGGTAGGAACACGTTGGGTTGCTCGGTCAATGGCCAGGGTCAACGGCGGCGTGGTGTATTCCGCAAATATGCCCGACTGTGAGGGCGGGCACAAGCCGGCGTGAGGAGGTTAAACGTTGAGTTTTATAAGGGCACCATGGGGTGAGCAGCCCCTCCCCACCCTCCCCACCCAGCCCCTCCCCTCTCCACCCAGCCCCACCCCCCACCCAGCCCCACCCTCCTTACCCAGCCCCTCCCCACCCAGCCCCTCCCCACCATCCCCTCCCCACCCAGCCCCTCCCTGCACGACGGACACAATAATCCCCTGTGGGCTGGTGTAACCAGGAGGTTCCTACCAGTATTATAGAGGCTTCACCCCCCCCCCCTATACGCATTTGGGTTAACCCCCCCACCTCCCTTCTCCATGCGTACGTACTAAACGGATGGCCCCATAATAGTCGCAGCATCGTGTTTCCATGTTAACCAAAACCTGCTAAGCGTGGACGCGCCTCATGGCTAAGCTCTCCCCCTAGCGGGCGATGGTCGACTTCGCTGCCCCGTGCTGCCCTCGGCAGCGTTGTTCGTGAGAGGGCCGGGCTTGGGGCCGTACATAAATGACGTCACGCAATTTTTGACGATTTTTGACCCCCCCCCTTCGTCACAAAAAGTCAGACCCCCCCCCCTAAAATATGACGTCACAAAGCTCTGCCCCCCCCCCCCAAATAAAACATGCTTCAAATCGCTTTAAACTATTGTCATTATTTAATGTGGCGCTGCACTCTGATGTTGTAGAAAACATTTATTAAAAAGTCTATTTAATTAAGTAGAACGTGTTGTCTATATTTATTTAAAGTTGCGCATTTTTACGTGACGTCACATTTCTCACCCCCCCCCCCCTCGTCACACATCGTCACAAATGTCTGACCCCCCCCCCCCAGGTGCGTGACGTCATTTATGGACGGCCCCCTCGGGGTGTCCCTGGGTGGGGGGCCCTGCACGACCGAATGTCCATGTCCCCGTGACCTCCCACCCACGTTCACTCTCTGCTATGCCCCCCCCCCCAGCGTACCTGGTAAGATAAGACTAAGTAATTTTTTATTTATATAAATAAAAGTTATTTGTTTACATTTCCTATACTTTGCATTCCGATTGTTTTTATAATGTTTGTTGGAACGCGACCTGCCACTACCGGAGAGCTTTTTAAATCCTTTATATTAAGTTCACTTGCTTGCTTGCGTGCTTACGACCGTGCAAATCTTTCGGTCGTTTTTTAACCCACTTCCCGTGATCCAATCGAGCTGACATTTTGCACACAGACTCGTTGTGCGTGACAATTAGTTTTCGTGAAATTTTTTTTCCATAACTTTACACTTTTTAGGATTTTTTCAAAATATTTAATTACCAATTGCTTAATGGTGACAGGCAATCATCTGACCCATAGGTGGCAGCCATCTCAAGCCAGAGGACGAGAGGACTCTAGCCGCCACGCATATAAAGGATTTATAGTGAAAAACTTTGTTTTTACGGGTTAATTTTTTTATTCATCGGATTCCTCCAGTACGAATAAAGGTTCTGATACCCAGAACATTTAAAATCGGGTACACACCTAGCCCATCATTCATCCTTCAAAGGTCGATAAAATTCCTGCCCCCACTGTGCCGAAATCTCCCACGGATTGAACTCGCCCAAAACACCACAACAACGTGGAATTCCCCAGCTGCGAGCACGCACAGCACGACTTCTTTCGCACCGTACGTATCCAACCGCGCTACCGCCAGCCGCACCGGGGTAGACGAGGAAGTCTCCCCCGAACTTGGCTCCGCTCGTGAGGTGCAGGCCACGCCGCTGCAGGTCGCGGTAGACGCGGTAGCGCAACTCGTGGTGCGGTAGCGCCGGGTGGGGCCACAGCGAAGAGGCCGCTCGCCACTCCACGACACGCAGGGTCCTCGTGGCACTCGCCGTGCGCACCTGCACCAGCATGCTCTCTCGCGTGAACTGGAGACCAGCATCATCATCATCGTCGTCCTCATCATCATCCTCGTCGTCCTTGTCGTCACCAGCAGCAGCAGCAGTGGCATTGTCCTCCTCGGCTTCCTGGCCGGCATCGTGGTGGTCCACGCACGCCTCGCCAAGCTCCATGTCCTCCAACTTTTGCTCGCCACTCTCAGCCGTCACCTTGTCCCTCTCACCAGCATCCTCAGCAGGTTCGAAGGTCAACTCAGGTCTCTCCTCACCGGCATCCTCAAAGTCTCCCCTACCTCCTCCTCCACCGCCACCCATCCCATCTCCACCCCTCGTCACTCCACCACCACTCATCCCATCTCCACCCCGCGTCTCTCCTCCTCCACCACCACCCATCCCATCTCCACCCCTCGTCTCTCCTCCTCCACCACCACCACCCATCCCATCTCCACCACCACCACCCATCCCATCTCCACCACCACCCATCCCATCACCACCACCACACATCCCATCTCCACCCCTCGTCTCTCCTCCTCCACCACCACCACCCATCCCATCTCCACTACCACCACCACCCATCCCATCTCCACCCCGCGTCTCTCCTCCTCCTTCACCGCCGTCGCCGGGTCCCCCCCGCGTCTTGCGCCGCTTCGCCTCGCGTCCCCGGGCGATGGTGGCAGCCAGACCCCCCCGCATGCGCGCCCTGCGCTCCCGAATGGCGAGGCGCCTCTGCTCCCTGAACCCTCGCTCCCGTTCCTCCTCCAGCTCCTGCACCCTGCGCTCCATCTCCTCGCCGTCGCCCTCCTCCGCCGCCGAGGGCCTCACGAGAACGGCGGCTCCCGTCTCGGCCAGGAGCCTCGCTTCCTCGGCCATGAGGATGACGGGGAGGCCCAGGCGCGAGTTCTGCCGGGGCTGCCGCGCCAGGGAGCCCGCGGGGGAGCCCGCGATGCCGTGACGCTCCCGGAGATCGCGCGCCTCGGCCGCGCTCCACAGCAGCGCCGCGCCGCCCGCGGACACGTGGACGAGCAGGGGTCCCTCCTGCTGGTCCGACATGACCCGACCCGACCCTCTCACCCCTTCACCTCAATCCCTGTCCTGTCCTCACCCCTTGCCCTGACCTCCGTCCTCACCCCCTCACCTCACCCCCTCACCTGAATCCCTGTCCTCCCCTCACCCTGTCCCAACCTCACCGCCGTCCTCACCTCACCACCCTCACCTGACTCCCTGTCCTGCCCTCACCCCTTGTCCTGACCTCCGTCCTCACTTCACCCCCTCACTCCCTGTCCTGCCCTCACCCCTTGCCCTCACCCCTTGCCCTCACCCCTTGCCCTGTCCCGTCCTCACTTCACCCCCTCACCCCTCACCCGACTCACTGTCCTGTCCTCACCCCTTGCCCTGTCCCGACCTCACCGCCGTCCTCACCTCACCCCCTTAACCTGACCTCACCCCTTGTCCTGACCTCCGTCCTCACCTCACCCCCTCACCTAACTCCCTGTCCTGTCCTCACCTTGCCCTGTCCCGTCCTCACCTCACCCCCTCACCTCACCCCCTTGACCTGTCCTCACCCCTTGTCCTGACCTCCGTCCTCACCTCACCTGACCTCACCTGACCTCACCTGACCTCACCTGGGGTTACTGCTGCAACCCCGCTGCTGGCTGTCTGTGTGTCGTTCCCAGAGCCCCCTCACCGCAGCCACACGTGGCCGGCAAGGGGACCCCGTGGGGCGGACGTCATATGGAAGCGACGGGGTCCACACCCCCCCCCCCCCTCCCACGTAACATGGCCGCTGTGTTACTCAGCGTCTCGATGACGTCGGAGGGGCAGGGCATGGTGACGGTGATGGTGACGTCACGACGGTGATGGTGTTGATGTTGAAAGATGATGGTGGTGGTGTAAATTTAGATTTAAAGCTTTCGTGACTGCAGGGATTCATATTCTTGGTTCTTTCGGTAAAGTCACGTAGAAGGGGAATAATAATTAAATAATACAAATATTTACTTTTTTTTATATATAAATCTATTTTTATTCTTTTAAAAATAGAAATATATTTTATTATTTTTAAAATATAAAAAAATTGTATTTCCCTTCTATGTGACTATTTTTCTTTCGATAAAGTCACGTAGAAGGGGAATAATAAAAACATATATAAACTTTTTTTATATATAAACCTATTTTTATTCTTTTAAAAATAGAAATATATTTTATTATTTTTAAAATATAAAAAAATTGTATTTCCCTTCTATGTGACTACCGAAAGAACCAAGAATATGATGATGATGGTGGTGGTCGCGAGGTCTTGTAGAGAGGGGTTTGGTTGAGCGACCCGAGTTCGATTCCAACTCACGACCACCGACACCACAGTGACGATTATTAGAGCCCCTAGGTCGACTCAGCCTCAAAGGAGTGCATGGTGCGGTGCGTAAACATCGCCACTGGGGAGACAAAGGCGGTCGGGCGTGGTGCTGGCCACCCAACCCCCCTCGTGTGCCACAGTGTCGGCCTTCACAGGTGCTCGCTAACAGCACTTTCTTCAACAATCTGCTGCCTAAATTTCGATTTAAAGCTTTCGTGACTGCAGGGATTCATCTTCTTGGTTTTTTCGGTAAAGTCACGTAGAAGGGAAGTAATAAAATAATAAAAATAAATCATAATAAAATAATTCTCACGACGTTTCGGCTACAACGCAAGCAGCCGTCTTCAGGTGAAGAATGAGACACTGCATATCAAGATATGCACATTTTTTGTTAAGGTGCTCTTCTTCCACCTCCAACCCAGCTTATATATAAGCTCCAAGCTTGGCAGTGTCTCATTCTTCACCTGAAGACGGCTGCTTGCGTTGTAGCCGAAACGTCGTGAGAATTATTTTATTTAATTATGTTTTATTTTTATTTTTTTATTACTTCCCTTCTACGTGACTTTACCGAAAAAACCAAGAAGATGAATCTACTGCCTGCTATCCGAGAGAGATCTTTGCTCTTGGTGATGGTGCAGCGCCCCCCTAAAGGACGACCCCCATTCACGTACCCCAACAAAATCACCCCCCTCGTCACTAGGGGGGTCTCTTGAGGGACTCGTGGGATTGCTGGGGACCGGCGGCAAGGAGTCTTGAAAGCTGACCGGGGACCTGGGGATCGGTGACTCGGACCGAGGGATTCAGAGGGAGACACCTGGAATTGGGTGCAGAGACCAGGGCACGTGGGGAGCCAGCCGGGCACAGTCTGAAGCGAAGGTGGAGAGAGTTTAGGGGGGGTAGGGGGGGTGAGGGACATGGGGGTGAGTTTGGGGGGACATGGGGGTAGGGGGGGTGGGGGACATGGGGGGTGAGTTTAGGGGGGCAGGGGGGTAGGGGGGGTGGGGGACATGGGGGTGAGTTAGGGGACAGGGGGGTAGGGGGGGTGGGGGACATGGGGGTGAGTTTAGGGGGACAGGGGGTAGGGGGGGTGGGGGACATGGGGGGTGAGTTTAGGGGGGGGGTAGGGGGGTGGGGGACATGGGGGGTGAGTTAGAGGACAGGGGGTAGGGGAGGTGGGGGACATGGGGGTGAGTTTAGGGGGACATGGGGGTAGGGGGGGTGGGGGACATGGGGGTGAGTTTAGGGGGACAGGGGGTAGGGGGGGTGGGGGACATGGGGGTGAGTTTAGGGGGACAGGGGGTAGGGGGGTGGGGGACATGGGGGTGAGTTTTAGGGGGACAGGGGGTAGGGGGGGTGGGGGACATGGGGGGTGAGTTTAGGGGGGGTAGGGGGGGTGGGGGACATGGGGGTGAGTTAGGGGACAGGGGGTAGGGGGGGTGGGGGACATGGGGGTGAGTTTAGGGGGACATGGGGGTAGGGGGGGTGGGGGACATGGGGGTGAGTTTAGGGGGACAGGGGTAGGGGGGGTGGGGGACATGGGGGTGAGTTTAGGGGGACATGGGGGTAGGGGGGTGGGGGACATGGGGGTGAGTTTAGGGGGACAGGGGGTAGGGGGGGTGGGGGGACATGGGGGTGAGTTTAGGGGGACAGGAGGACAGGGGGGGTAGGGGGGGTGAGGGACATGGGGGGTCAGTTTAGGGGGACATGGGGGTAGGGGGGGGTGGGGGACATGGGGGTGAGTTTAGGGGGACAGGGGGTACGGGGGGTGGGGGACATGGGGGGTGAGTTTAGGGGGGGTAGGGGGGTGGGGGACATGGGGGGTGAGTTTAGGGGGACGGGGGGGTAGGGGGGGTGGGGGACATGGGGTGAGTTTAGGGGGGGTAGGGGGGTGTGGTACATGGGGGGTGAGTTTAGGGGGACGGGGGGTAGGGGGGGTGGGGGACATGGGGGGTGAGTTTAGGGGGACGGGGGGGTAGGGGGGGTGGGGGACATGGGGGTGAGTTTAGGGGGGGTAGGGGGGTGGGGGACATGGGGGGTGAGTTTAGGGGGACGGGGGGTAGGGGGGGTGGGGGACATGGGGGGTGAGTTTAGGGGGGGTAGGGGGGTGGGGGACATGGGGGGTGAGTTTAGGGGGACGGGGGGGTAGGGGGGGTGGGGGACATGGGGGTGAGTTTAGGGGGGGTAGGGGGGTGGGGGACATGGGGGGTGAGTTTAGGGGGACGGGGGGTAGGGGGGGTGGGGGACATGGGGGGTGAGTTTAGGGGGGGTAGGGGGTGGGGGACATGGGGGGTGAGTTTAGGGGGACGGGGGGGTAGGGGGGGTGGGGGACATGGGGGGTGAGTTTAGGGGGCAGGGGGGTAGGGGACATGGGGGGTGAGTTAGAGGACAGGGGGTAGGGGGGGGTGGGGGACATAGGGGTGAGTTTAGGGGGGACAGGGGGTAGGGGGGGTGGGGGACATGGGGGTGAGTTTAGGGGGACAGGGGGTAGGGGGGGTGGGGGACATGGGGGGTGAGTTAGGGGACAGGGGGTAGGGGGGGTGGGGGACATGGGGGTGAGTTTAGGGGGACATGGGGGTAGGAGGGGTGGGGGACATGGGGGTGAGTTTAGGGGGACAGGGGGTAGGGGGGGTGGGGGACATGGGGGTGAGTTTAGGGGGACAGGAGGACAGGGGGGGTAGGGGGGGTGAGGGACATGGGGGGTGAGTTTAGGGGGACATGGGGGTAGGGGGGGGTGGGGGACATGGGGGGTGAGTTTAGGGGGGGTAGGGGGGTGGGGGACATGGGGGGTGAGTTTAGGGGGACAGGGGGTAGGGGGGGTCGGGGACATGGGGGGTGAGTTTAGGGGGGGTAGGGGGGTGGGGGACATGGGGGTGAGTTTAGGGGGACGGGGGGGTAGGGGGGGTGGGGGACATGGGGGTGAGTTTAGGGGGGGTAGGGGGGGGTGGGGGACATGGGGGTGAGTTAGGGGGACAGGAGGACAGGGGGGGTAGGGGGGGGTGGGGGACATGGGGGGTGAGTTTAGGGGGACAGGGGGTAGGAGGGGTCGGGGACATGGGGGGTGAGTTTAGGGGGGTAGGGGGGTGGGGGACATGGGGGTGAGTTTAGGGGGACGGGGGGGTAGGGGGGGTGGGGGACATGGGGGTGAGTTTAGGGGGGGTAGGGGGGGTGGGGGACATGGGGGTGAGTTAGGGGACAGGGGGTAGGGGGGGTGGGGGACATGGGGGTGAGTTTAGGGGGACAGGGGGTAGGGGGGGTGGGGGACATGGGGGTGAGTTTAGGGGGACATGGGGGTAGGGGGGGTCGGGGACATGGGGGTGAGTTTAGGGGGACAGGGGGTAGGGGGGGTGGGGGACATGGGGGTGAGTTTAGGGGGACAGGGGGTAGGGGGGGTGGGGGACATGGGGGGTGAGTTTAGGGGGGGTAGGGGGGTGGGGGACATGGGGGGTGAGTTTAGGGGGACGGGGGGGTAGGGGGGGTGGGGGGCATGGGGGTGAGTTTAGGGGGGGTAGGGGGGTGTGGGACATGGGGGGTGAGTTTAGGGGGACGGGGGGTAGGGGGGTGGGGGACATGGGGGGTGAGTTTAGGGGGACGAGGGGGTAGGGGGGGTGGGGGACATGGGGGTGAGTTTAGGGGGGGTAGGGGGGTGGGGGACATGGGGGGTGAGTTTAGGGGGACGGGGGGTAGGGGGGGTGGGGGACATGGGGGGTGAGTTTAGGGGGGGTAGGGGGGTGGGGGACATGGGGGGTGAGTTTAGGGGGACGGGGGGGTAGGGGGGGTGGGGGACATGGGGGTGAATTTAGGGGGGTAGGGGGGTGGGGGACATGGGGGGTGAGTTTAGGGGGACGGGGGGTAGGGGTGTGGGGGACATGGGGGGTGAGTTTAGGGGGGGTAGGGGGGTGGGGGACATGGGGGGTGAGTTTAGGGGGACAGGGGGTAGGGGGGGTCGGGGACATGGGGGGTGAGTTTAGGGGGGGTAGGGGGGTGGGGGACATGGGGGTGAGTTTAGGGGGACGGGGGGGTAGGGGGGGGTGGGGGACATGGGGGTGAGTTTAGGGGGGGTAGGGGGGTGGGGGACATGGGGGTGAGTTAGGGGGACAGGAGGACAGGGGGGGTAGGGGGGGTGGGGGACATGGGGGGTGAGTTTAGGGGGACAGGGGGTAGGGGGGGTCGGGGACATGGGGGGTGAGTTTAGGGGGGGTAGGGGGGTGGGGGACATGGGGGTGAGTTTAGGGGGACGGGGGGGTAGGGGGGGTGGGGGACATGGGGGTGAGTTTAGGGGGGGTAGGTGGGGTGGGGGACATGGGGGTGAGTTTAGGGGGACAGGGGGTAGGGGGGGTGGGGGACATGGGGGTGAGTTTAGGGGGGCATGGGGGTAGGGGGGGTGGGGGACATGGGGGTGAGTTTAGGGGGACAGGGGGTAGGGGGGGTGGGGGACATGGGGGTGAGTTTAGGGGGACATGGGGGTAGGGGGGGTGGGGGACATGGGGGTGAGTTTAGGGGGACAGGGGGTAGGGGGGGTGGGGGACATGGGGGTGAGTTTAGGGGGACAGGAGGACAGGGGGGGTAGGGGGGGTGAGGGACATGGGGGGTCAGTTTAGGGGGACATGGGGGTAGGGGGGGTGGGGGACATGGGGGTGAGTTTAGGGGGACAGGGGGTAGGGGGGGTGGGGGACATGGGGGGTGAGTTTAGGGGGGGTAGGGGGGTGGGGGACATGGGGGGTGAGTTTAGGGGGACGGGGGGGTAGGGGGGGTGGGGGACATGGGGGTGAGTTTAGGGGGGGTAGGGGGGTGTGGGACATGGGGGGTGAGTTTAGGGGGACGGGGGGTAGGGGGGGTGGGGGACATGGGGGGTGAGTTTAGGGGGACGGGGGGGTAGGGGGGGTGGGGGACATGGGGGTGAGTTTAGGGGGGGTAGGGGGGTGGGGGGGGTGGGGGGTGAGTTTAGGGGGACGGGGGGTAGGGGGGGTGGGGGACATGGGGGGTGAGTTTAGGGGGGGTAGGGGGGTGGGGGACATGGGGGGTGAGTTTAGGGGGACGGGGGGGTAGGGGGGGTGGGGGACATGGGGGTGAGTTTAGGGGGGTAGGGGGGTGGGGGACATGGGGGGTGAGTTTAGGGGGACGGGGGGTAGGGGGGGTGGGGGACATGGGGGGTGAGTTTAGGGGGGGTAGGGGGTGGGGGACATGGGGGGTGAGTTTAGGGGGACGGGGGGTAGGGGGGGTGGGGGACATGGGGGGTGAGTTTAGGGGGACAGAGGGGGGTAGGGGGACAGGGGGGTGGGGGACAGGGGGGTGGGGGACAAGGGGGGTGGGGAGCTTGGGGGGGTGGGGGGACAGGGGGGACGGGGGGGGCTTGTGGGTGAGACCGAGGGGATCTCGGGGACTCCGAGGGGGGCGGTCCGCACTGCCACGTCCGCGGCTTCCCACTTCCCGCACCCTGCCACAGCCCAGCCGCTCTCTCTGCATCTTGTGGCGTGGCACTGCCCAGCATCAACATCTCCCACCACCCCACCGTGTGTTATTGTTAACAAGATATAACATAAACTTTATTTCGATAGTTTTTTTTGTATTCGACAAGAGCTCCCCCCCCCCCCGACGCCGCTGCTGCCTTCCGTTGCGGCCTACTAATCGCTGCGGGCCGATCGCGCGCGTTCCCGGCGGGGCGACTAGGCAAGACCACGGGGAGGTGGTCGGGGGGTGTCCGGTCTCGGGGACTCGAGGCGTTCTCTCTCTCTCTGTGTGTGCCCCCCACCCCCGTCTCGTTTCTATCATCCCCTCGGGGTCTTTTCCACCATCCACGTCCCTCGTTCCGTGCGAAGATGGCTGTGACGAGCTGGGGGCTGACGATAAACATCGTGAACAGCATCGTCGGCGTGAGCGTGCTGACGATGCCCTACTGCTTCAAGGAGGTGAGGGGGGCTTCGTGTGGTGGGCAGCAGGGGGGACTGTGCTTCTCTACGAGTTCACGGGTGGTCAGGGGTGAGGGGGGGGGTCCCATCGAGGCAACGATTCGCGTGGTTTTGCGTCAAGTTTGGACACTCTCTTGACGAGGGTTCCAATGCGTGTTCTACTTTGACTCGTGTGACACCTGTGACTCGTGTTCCTCTAGTTCCTCCTCTCCGTCTCATGTTCCACGCTGGCGAGATCTTTACTCACCTCGCCTGTCTTCTTGGTTCTTTCGGTAAAGTCACGTTAGAAGGGAAGTAATACAATAATAAAGCTAAAACATAATAAGATAATTCTCACGACGTTTCGGCCACAACGCAAGCATCCGTCCTCAGGTGAAGAACAGGTCTGTCGGGGAGACAGCGTCTGAATGTTCAGACTGCAGAGATTCATCTTCAGACGCTGTCTCCCCGACATACCTGGTCTTCACCTGAAGACGGCTGCTTGCGTTGTGGCCGAAACGTCGTGAGAATTACTTTATTATGTTTTATTTTTATTATTGTATTACTTCCCTTCTACGTGACTTTACCGAAAGAACCAAGAAGATGAATCCCTGCAGTCACGAAAGCTTTAAATCGAAATTTAACCTCACCTGGTATGCAAGGAGATCGTGTGTTCGATGCCCATGTCTCTCTGCCCCCCCGTGGTCGCGTGGATTTTTCTCCAGGTCCTCCGGGTTTCTTTAAACATTTAGAAACGCGCGTTTCGAGTATTCTATGCGGCTGCTATAATTGTCCGCGTGATAAGCCACTTTGTTGAGCTGTGATCTGTGAACAGGTCGCTATGAAGCTCAGTGGGCCTTACCTGGTAAAATAAAATAGTTTATATTTTAATAGTTCCACGTGTCTCTGTCTAATATTCTACTGGAACACGTGTCTCTGTGTCTTATGTACCACGTGTCCCTGTGTCTCATGTACCACGTGTCCTTGTGTCTCATGTACCACGTGTTTCTGTGTCTCATGTACCACGTGTCTCTTGTGTCTCATGTACCACGTGTCTCCGTGTATCTTGTCCCACGTGTCTCTGTCTCATGTACCACGTGTCCCTGTGTCTCATGTACCACGTGTCTCTGTGTGTCATGTACCACGTGTCCCTGTGTCTCTTGTCCCACGTGTCCCTGTGTCTCATGTACCACGTGTCCTTGTGTCTCATGTACCACGCTTCCCTGTGTTTCATGTTCCACGTGTCCTTGTGTCTCTTGTTCCACGTGTCCATTGTCTCTTGTTCCACGTGTCCATTGTCTCTTGTTCCACGTGTCCATTGTCTCTTGTTCCACGTGTCCCTGTGTCTCATGTTCCACGTGTCCGTGTCTCATGTTTCACTTCAGAGACATATCAGACGTGTCTCGGGTTCCACTTGATGGGTTTGGATGGGGCCGCCCACCCCACGTGTTCACTGGCTCTTAGAGGTCATTGCCCACTCACAGCTGTGTCCCGTCTCACTGCCCGACAATAACAGCCTCACGTCACCTGCAGCATCTCCCAGCACCTGTGCGTGACAGCTCCATGCATGCATCCGTTCATGGAGATGCCTGAATGCAGTTAGATGGCTGCCCAGGGTTGCTACAGTTTCGAGAGAATGACCGAATGAAACCCACAATCTAAGACTCGAATACAACTGCACAAGATGTCGACTAGACACAGACTGTGACTGAAATATATCTGCTGACCACATCACCCCTTTCCCCATGGTGCCAGCCTTGAGAGATACTGGTGAACAGAATTTTCCTAAACAATCTAATTAAGCTACTCCGGGGATCGTGCGTTGGGAGCGGCAGTGCAGTGGTTAGCGCGTACTGTGCCACGAACCCGGCAACCTGATTTCGATTCCCACTCACGACCAACACAAGTGACGATTATCTGAACCGGTCCTCGGCCTCCCCTGCGTCGACTCGGCCTCAAATGATTACCCGGTGCAGTGTGTAAACATCACGGGGGGATGGGGGATCTTTGACTTTGTATGTGCGCAGTGTGGCGTGGTGCTGGGCACGGCGCTGCTGCTCTTCTGCGCGTGGATGACGCACCAGACCTGCATGATGCTCGTCAAGACGGCCTTCGCCACCAAGCGCCGCACCTACGTCGGCTTGGGTACCCAGCGCTCATCCCTCTGCGCCGCACGCCCCACCGCGCCACCCGTCCCACCGCGCCACCCGCGGGCATGACCAGAGTTGTCATCGTTAACAAGAGCCGCGCCGTTAATCAGAGCGAGAACGATGACGTTACTTTGCGCAGAACTTCCAATGGAACCCTCCAGTTTAAGACGTAGGCTTTCGTGACCAATATTATTCATAATATAGGTTTTTGGGTCAGATCGCGTTATTTATAAATGTGTCGTAACCCTCCACCACCCGACACGGCCAAACAGTAAAAAATGTGTCACGTTTTCAAAGGACAAAATAATTCACTTCTTTAGCCCACCAGATTAAAACAAATCTAATGTTTCTTTTTTACACATCCCATTAGACACACGACCTTCTGGGAGCGCATGACCGTTACGGTTGGCTACGTACGGTGCGAAAGAAGTTGGATTATCATGATAGTTTCCATTTGTGTACGTTTGAAATGGAGAGTAAAATGTGTTTTGACATGCGCATGTGTGTGCGTGTATCTCAGCCTACCAGGCATATGGGCATCCGGGGAAGCTGCTTGTTGAGGCCAGGTGAGAACTGAACGGCCAGCGGTGTTAAGTGTGACTTGCTCGTTCATTCATTATCTTTAACTACTCGCAAGACCACTTCCCGGAGTTGCAAATCCATCTCAATAATCAATTCACTTTCCTGTTGTTTGCATCGTTTCTAATTTTTCTATCTGGTTTGTATAATTTATGCTCCGTTAGCGAGAGAGTATTGTATTCGCTCATAATTAATGATAAATAAATAATGTACAGCCCTTTGTTAAGCCACTTGAGGAGGAAGGCTTCCCCATTCTGTGTTGGTCATGAGGGTTATTCGACCATACTTCACCATGCTGGTTAAGGCAGGTTGGTAAGGGCGGGTGCCCAGGGATGGCTCAGATATCACTGACCATGTGACATTAAGGCTAACGGAAGTAATGAGACATGACAATCAAGACAAACAATACAAATGAGACGAGGACAGTGTTAAACAAGGCAAAACAAACGAGATGCAAAGTATCGGCGCGCGATCCTGCAGCGTCATCCCTAACGCTCCTCCGTGCCGTTGTGCTGCACCCACGGTGCACCTCTCGCGGGCAGCATGATCGGCCTCATGCTGGGCACGTGCATCGCCTTCTACGTCGTCATCGCCGACCTCGGATCCAGCTTCTTCGGACGCCTCCTCGGGGTCACCGTGAGCACAGCGCACCAACACACAGACGATCCCTAGCAGAGGAGGGGGTCCTTCGTTATTTGTAGTTCATCCTTTGATTATATGTGTGTATGTTGAACTTCTTTCGCACCGTACGTAGTCAACAGTGCTAATCGGAGGTGCGGGGGAAGGACAACAAACTAAACTTAACAGCATTTCTCAAGAAATTCGTTTTCAATCTAGATGGTTTAAAAGTGCATAGCTCCAGTAGCATCCTTATATCGGAAGGAAGAGCGTTCCAGACGGCTTTTGCAGTGACCTTCTTTGTTCGATGGATAGCCAAAAGCCACTGCGACGATGACCGGAGTTTGCGTAATGGGTTTATGTTTCTTGACGAGAAGTCAGATTAATTAGTGAGATGAGAGTGAGTAGTTGTTTGTTGTTGTTTCCATGGAGGAAGTATTGCTAATTACTCATAAGTGAGTATGTTAATTGGTTAGACGAGAGTGAGTGTGCGAGTGTGGTTCGTTGTTGCTGAGGTGGAGGTCTCGTTAATTCGTGAGATGTATGTCTGTTGAACGTCTTTCTCACCGTGTGTAGCCAACTGTGCTAATCGTAGGTGCGATGAGTTGGAGTGTTGTTTTTTAATAGTTATTATCGTGGGGGAGGTGTAAGTAATTGCTAAGATGAGTGAGAGTTGTTTGCTGTTGTTGTTGTCGTGGTGGAGGTTTCGTTTGGGTTCCGCGCGCTCCTCTTGCTGGCCGTGGCCTCGCTCATCGTGCTGCCCATCAGCCTCCAGCGCAACCTCATGGCCTCGCTGCAGGCGCTCAGCGCCATGGCGCTACTCTTCTACGCCTTCTTCGTGCTTGTGGTCAGTACCGCAGGCGCCGGCGCCTCGCAGCTCGCACGCCGATATCGACCGTCACCAGCGCGCACCGCAGTCCATCCACTGCCAGCGCCTCCTCTCGCAGTCACGCGGCGCAACAATCCGGCTAGCTCCTGCGCACGAGCCGATTTCTGGCTGGGTTTAGGAAAGGCTCCTCTACATTTATGAAAGGTTCTTCTACTGTCGACCCCGTACACCCTGAATGTTTCCTGAGCAGAATCGACAATGTCACCCACCAAGCACGATCTAGCTACTGGTGGCCGCAGGCCTTTCTCCTCACGCTGTCGCCAGTTCTCGCCATTACGTGACACAACAATCTGTCCAGCAACTGGACATGAGCTAATCTTGTCGCTCCGTCTCCGCTAAGTCGTTCTCGTTTGGCTGTGCGGATCCAAATTGCGTTGTGCTTTTTATGAATTTTTTATTTGTATTTTTTTCTGTTCTATGTGGCTTTACCGAAAGACTCAAAGAATTACTTGTTATGAATGTCAACTGTAGTGTGGGTGAGAGCTTAAGGTTAGGTTAGCGAACTGCCCCCCCCCCCGCTCCAAAATAAACGTTCCCATTTAGACATTCTTTACATTCACATTACATTGTATTGACTTAGACAGAGGCTATTAGACTCTCATAGAGACTCATATACCCACACAGGAACCCACAGACTTGCATAGAGACCTACAACTGCCTTTATAAAAATAAATATGGCTGTTCCTGTCCAGCTTCTTGATATCCAGTCACGTTTAGACAGGGTGATGTAAATCCACATTGCTGTTGTGTTGTATAAGAAATACTGTTGAGATTTGTGGCCAGGTTACTGTGTGTGTGTGAACCTCTGTGGTGCCACCTCACCCATTGAGCACGTGGCGAGCCCTCACCTCTTCTGCCATTACTAACGCTGCACAGACCATGGCCTCCGTGGTCCTGTCATGGCTTCCACAGCTCCAGCAAGCGTATGCGTACATGTGCGTGCGAGCGTGTGTGCAGGCATTTCTGTGCGTGTGAGCGTGCGCTTGTGCAGCCGTACCCATGTGTGTGTCTGTGCGCGCGTGCGTGTGTCCAAGCATACGTGTTCGTGTGTGTGTTCCTGCTTATGTGTGTGTTCGTGCTTGTGTGCGTGCGCCTGTGTTCGTACTTGCATATGTACGCGTGTGTTCGGGCTTGCGTACATGCGCGTGTGTTCGTGCTTGCGTACGTGCGCGTGTGTACGTGCAAATGTGTTCGTGCTTGTGTACGTGCGCGTGTCTTCGTGCTTGTGTGTGTGCGCGTGTGTACGTGCGCGTGTGTTCGTGCTTGCAGTACGTGCGCATCTGTTCGTGCTTGTGTGCGTGCGCGTGTCTTCGTGCTTGTGTGCGTGTGTTCGTTCGTGTGTGCCGTGCGAGAAAACCCCTCTGGCGTGCTTTGCGTTGCCTTAGATAGCTCTCACATCCCTGCGTTACGGCCTCTTTGCGGGCGGATGGATGAGACGAGTGCACTATTGGCGCCCGGCCGGGACCTTCCGCTGCCTGGCGCTCTTTGGCACAACCTTCCTGTGCCACCCGTAAGTAGCCGGGCCCGTTTGTACGGCGTCGGCCGAGGCACGCCGCCGCCCCCACTTTGATCGGCGGGAGCAGAGAGCCAAATCTCGGCCATTTCACCGCCGAGAAAATGTACCGGACAATCCTAACAATGATTGGCAATGGCCCGAGTAGTTCTGACGTCGCCGAGCGGCGCAGGGCGTCCTACGGGAGTCCGCTCCTCGCCGATCAAACCGCGGGCCGCGGCGTTGCTTGTGCCGACATGTGGCTGCGTGAGCGGCGGTTGGGCGGTAAGGCCTGCCGTCTCTCTCTCTCTCGCGCGCGAGAGGGCCAGCGTGGATCAGGGGCGCGGCTTGGGCTAATGACGCGAGGCTGCGGCTGGAACGGCTAGGCTCACGAACCGCCTCGTCGCGCGATTTACAAACCACAGTGACGAGAGGCGGACGCGTGGCTCGGAGGTCCG